ATCCGATGGTACTTGTGCGTTTATACTGAAGTTTCCGAGCATCAAACTGGCTAAATGCTGTATCAACAGGCTGCATCGATTGAAAAAGCGATGGAGGGTAGGCGAGACCACGGTTTGTGAACGTGATACCCCTGCTGTGTTGTAGGTCAGCAAGAATTCATCGTTCTATGCGCACGCCCAGATGATCGACATTCATTGGGATGATGAAGATGTCTATGATGATGAGCGGCAAGATATTGATTCTGATATCGATGAGCCGATAGAATATTGACGATGGATTTATATATTGCGACATGGATAATGGTTTCAGGACTTTTTCGTTTCTTAGTGTTGAATAAGGCTTGTCAGCGTATCCGTAATGTCAGTATTTGAGTGGGTAGTGTTAGTATGTGACTGCGTCCGCTGTAGACTCCACAGTGTGGAGACCATACTCTGGTGACCATACTATGTTCCAGCTGCCTTCGTACGAAGCCCCTCCGCTTTTTTCGATTTAAGCACCCACCTAGAATTAGCTCGTAACGATGATCCATCCCATGTGTGGCGTGGTGGTCTGAGGTAACTCGATTGAATGAGACACTAGTATGAGAAGGTACAAGGCCGTCGTGTGGGAAGGTGTCGGGAACTGGAGCGCACCACGATGTATGTATTTTGATGGAAAGTAAGAAGGATACGAGTGAATAAACTATTAATTGGGAATTAGTGATTCTAATTCGTTTTCCTCAGCGAATTTCACTGATGTTCGACATTACCGGTATTAATTGCACCTCTTAACGGTGGTTGACTTCAATGAGATTCTGCCGTCGTTATAGAATGCAATGTTTGTATCATACAAAGTATTCTATTGGATTTACCTCATGGTCGGGGAGCCCGCTCGCTTTCGAAATATGATCCGTATTGATGTTTTGGAGAACTGTCCCGCACGATGTGTGGTGCCATTGATACTTGGGTAACTCGAGTATCGATCGTAGGGGATCGAACATGGGGTTCAAACCTCTGGTGCGACCTGATTGCTCTGAACGAATAAGCGAGCAGGGCAGGCTTAAGGCCAAAACTGTAGCTTTGTTTGGTAGTTGTATGGTGCCACTCCATTTACCGAGTTTCATAATACAGAACGTGGATACCCGTGTTTGGTATTATACTGACAGTATATATTACACATGGTTCTATCCGAATCATCACTGATGGCCGCGATGAGATCCTTTTCGATGGGACCAATGAGAGGAGTCCGTCCACATTGACTCACTGTAACTGAGAAATCCACAGTGTAGACTCCACTGCGGAGTCTCCACACTCCGCCATGTAGAATGGAGTGCCGAGAAAGGCAGCATGTGCATAAGATATTCATGCATGGGGCTGCATTCACGCATGATAAGTGCATGCAGCCTCACGTTGGACATGTCCGCCATCCCGGATTCAATGGATGTGCAACGGCATGCTAATCACACCGTATGACGATCAGGAAACTATGACAAAACTATGACTGTCATGGTTGTGTAATCTTAGCTGAGTCAAGGAGAAAGAGGCTGGCAGACCCAGGTTTTTCACGGTAGTTAGCCCCGTAATGAGCTCCCTGGTTTCGATCTTACAGAGCGATATCGAGGGAATTCTTG